GCTCTTCCGATATATGTATATACATACGTATAACTCCACATTGGTTTTGGCCCTGTCAGACTAGCCGTTAGCTCTTCAGTCAGGTCACATTTAAACTCTTTCTCCAAACTGAAGTCATTCAAAAAGGTATCTACAACATGTAAATACTAATTGTTCAAAACCTTTCTAAAGAATTGCACTTCAAAAGATCTGGTCATTTGCTTCAAATGCAGTTTAAACTAAATAAAGTCCTGTTCAGTTATTTTATGGTTCAGTTCAGTGCAGTTCAGATTCAGTTCAATATGTATGAACAGCTAATTGAAGATAGAAAACAACATGTTACAAACTTGATCTTGATGTACTGTACTGTAATTTCTTGTCCTAAGTGTGTATGAGGCAACAACAACCTGACACTGTCCAACTTAATCTGTACCATCATTAACCTGGAGGTACCAGGGAGATAAAGTTTACTGCATGAGCAAACATTTACAAAAGCCTAAAGCTTAATAGACTCAATAAGATCAGCATCTGTAAAACTGACTGAGTCATTGTGGCTAATACTAATTAACAGCAGTAGAAGTTGAGGAAGGGTTACTCACCTCCAAAGTTGGAGGGAGTAGAACTTTCTTTGTCAGAGTCTATCTAGACAGACAGCTTAACTGGAAAGGACATGTAAATGAAAAGTGCAAGAAGGTGCTTACATCAGTGCAGCATAATTGCAGGTAGTCATTGGAGTGTTACCCCAAAGGTTATCAAACAGATCTACATGGCCATAGTCCGCCCCATGCTACGCTACGCTGTTTTAGTATGGTGGGTCTGAGTCCAAGTCAGGGTGGCAAGAGTGATTCTCACCCATGTGCAACGAATGGCCTGCCTGAGCATCACAAGTTCCATTAGAACAACAACCACGGGCCTTTACAGCCCTACTGAATCTGACTTCACTGGATTATATCCAGTGTATATCTTGGGGGAGGCCGCATGCAGTGTGGTGAGGTTATACCAGTCTGGTGGGTGGAGAAGCCCATCTGACAAGGGTGTCGGAAGCATCCGTAATGTGGGGGACACACAATGATGTGTGTAGGTGTGTGTGTGTGCGTGCGCGCATGCACGTGTGAGCGCACGTTAAAAAAAGGTGTTCACTAATGAACAAAAAAGCAGCATTTCACCTAGATTTCCTTTAATTCCACACATTTAAAACATGTTTCTCACCAAGTTTGTGTAAATTCAGCTGTGGGTTTAAAGACATTTTAACTTTAATACACTTTAATACAGAGCGTCAGGTCGACACTATTTGTCTTTATAGAGAAATAAAAAACATCACCACTGGACTTTTTTTACTTGTGTTCAACACTCCTCATCTAAATGATGTTTCTCATGAAGCTTGAGGACAATAAGGTGTGGGTCTAAAAAAGTTAAATCTGGTCCTCTGGACATTCAAAAAAAACAAAAAAACAAAGCAAAACAA